GGACGGCGGGGCCGGCAGGAGGCGACCGGGCCGCGACGGGGGCAGGCGGCGGGGCCGCGTAAGGGCCTGGGCGGGGCCGCGACAGAGCCGTCGGCGGGGCCGCGTGAAAGCCGGGGCGGGGCCGCGTAGAAGCCGGGGCGGGGCCGCGCGAGAGCAGGCGGCGGGGCCGCGAAGGAGCCGGGGCGGGGCCGCGTGAGAGCAGGCGGCGGGGCCGCGTAAGGGCCTGGGCGGGGCCGCGACAAAGCCGTCGGCGGGGCCGCGTGAAAGCCGGGGCGGGGCCGCGTAGAAGCCGGGGCGGGGCCGCGCGAGAGCAGGCGGCGGGGCCGCGAAGGAGCCGGGGCGGGGCCGCGTGAGAGCAGGCGGCGGGGCCGCGTAAAGGCCGGGGCGGGGCCGCGACAGAGCCGGCTGCGGGGCCGCGTGAGAGCCGGCGACGGGGCCGCGTAAGGGCCGGCGGCGGGGCCCCGTCAGAGAGGGCGGCGGGGCCGCGTCAGTGAAGGCGGCGGGGCCGCAGGGGAAATGACGACCCGAGGGGTCGCTAAAAAAAATCGCGCCTCGGGGGGCGCTTCGGTGGGCCCAAAAAAACGGTCCGTAGAAGGACCCGCTCTATACCATGTGAGAATAAGCGAACAGGAATGAATGAACTAGAAGTGAAATGAGTACAAGTAGTAAACCCTAGAATTGTGTACCCCCTATAGGCTAACCCACTGTAGCCTACACAAGCATAACATGTATAATGTTTGACACACTCTACAACGGTTGTGAGCTGGACTACAAGGTTGGCACGAACTACTAGAGGTGATCGTAGCTTTGCTTGGTTCCTTAGTGCTTGCACATTCACGGGAGAAATTGGCAAGAGTTTCCACTAGCAAAGTTAAGAATTCCAGAATAGAAAAGAAGCAATCACAACAATGACTACATCAGGCACCTAGCAACCCTGCAGCTAGCCTGGTCGACCACCAGCGCAGCTCGGTCGGCCGCCTGCCAGCATTGCGTAGAGGAGCCGCGCCAGCACTGCAGAAGGGCGACCTGCCAACAAAGCAGGTCGACGGCGTGCCCCGTAGAACACAGCAGCGCGTGCGCTCGCAGGTGTGTGCAGACGATTGGCCCGACTTGCCTCGTTGGGCATCCGTCGGCTGTTGTCCGCGCCTGACGAGCCACATCGACTTCGGGATACCAGTCCGAAGTCGCCTGCGCCATCGCGATCTCGACGACGTTCGCGAGCCTTCGCAGAACTCGTCGAGCAGGTTACCCGGTCGGCCTGGTCGACTCCCAGGTGCCTCCGGTCGACCACTGGGTCCCTCTGGTCGAGCACCAGGCGCTCTTGGTCGACCACAACTCCCGTCGAGCTACCCCCTGGTCGATGGACCCCTTCCGTCGACCAGAACTGCTCTGTCGACCTCCCAGTCGAACTGCAGGTCGACGGACTGCTTCGTCGACCTCCCGGACGGCCCACCCGTCGCACAGACCAGTCAGTTGCAGCTGTCGAGCTCCTTGGTCGACAGCAGCACCACAGCGGTCCGCTGCAGCTTGACGTAACCTGTCAAGCAGCTATCCCACTGTGAACGGTCGGCTGCTACTCTCGTCCATCCGACCAAGTCGTCGGCGTTGCCCAAGCAAGGGCGGGGCCAACACTCCATTCTTGTTAACGGGAGAGAAGGAAGGGCGGCGGGAGAGAAGGAAGGGCGGCGGGAGAGAAGGAAGGGCAGTGGGAGAGGAAAGCGACGGGATCGGAAGGGCGACGGGAGCGGAAGAGCAACGGGAGAGGAAAGGCGAAGGGAGAGAAAGCGTCGGAGGAAGGGCAACGGGAAAGGAAAGGCGATGGGAGAGGAAAGGCGATGGGAGGGGAGGGGAGAGATAGCGTGGCGACGCGAACTGAGGGGAGGGCCGCGACGGGAGATAGCGAGGGCGACGTCGATGGAGGCGACAATTTGGGCGACTGGGCGGCGTCGGGACGGATGGCGCGAGGATGAGTGAGTTGGGAGGACGAGTGAGGCGGGATAGGAAGGCGGCAAAAGGGCAATCTAAACGGCACAATTACTGCACAATCATAACATATAATCACTACGCGCCTAAGTTGTGGTAACAACAACCTAAGTTAGGGCTATATGGCTAGACAAGCAACTAAGAACTAAGAAGCACGAAAAACTGAACGGAAGAAGTATTAGTACTTCACCCATGCCCAACTTGAACCACAAGCTGGGCAAAAATGTCAAAATAAATGTTTACTGTCATCTAGGCTGTAGTGGGTTTAGCCTTAGGGGGTATAGTAAATTGCTCGACACTTCTTGTACCCCCTCCCTCTTACCTGATCCTCATTCCTTCCTAGCTAATCTCGACATGATATTTAGAGCGAAATGGTCCTTAGGACCGAACTTTTAAATGGGCCCACCATTCCAATTTCGATCTGCTGCCCGAGTCGCGCCCCTAGGAGAAATGCGAAATGCGAAACGCGCCCTAGGCGAGACGTTTTTCTGCCTTAGGAGCATCCCGTCCCCTAGCTGCCCTAGGCGCGATTCCTCTGCCTAGTCACGTACGACCCCTCCAGACCGCGCCCTAGCTGCCCCGTGCGCCACTCGCGCGGCCCGTCAGCCCCTACGCCCAGTTCCCCCTCGTTCCTGCTGCTGCGCGCGCCACTCATGCTACCCGCCAGCCCCTAGCGCGCACCTGCTGCGCGCGCCACTCATGCTACCCGCCAGCCCCTAGCGCGCACCTGCTGCGCGCTCGTTTTAAGCTGCTCCGCACGCACCTGTTGTGCGCCCTTGGTTTGCTAGCCCACAGCCCTCGCGTGCCTACTGCTGCTGTGCGCCAACTGCTGCTGCTGCTGCACTGCTGCTATTGCGTGCGCTGCTGCTGCTGCTGCTAGGCTGTTGCTGCTGCTAGGCTGGTGCTGCCGCCTGAGCTGCTGCTGATGCCTGCACTGCTCCTGCCACCTGTGCTGCTGCTGCTGTGCTGCGCTGCAGCTGCTGCTAAGCTACTGCTGCCGCTTGCCTCGAGCATGTCCTGCCCTTCTGTGGGCTGCTGCGCTGCTGCTACTGCTGCGCTGCTCCTACTGCTTAGCTGCTACTGCTGCGCTGCTCCTACTGCTTAGCTGCTGCTGCTGCCGCCTGAGCTGTTGCTGCCCCCTGCGCTGCTGCTACTGCTGCTGCTGCTGCTACTTGCAGCAGCTGCTCCTCGTTGCCGTTGCTGCTGCTATTAAGTTGTTGCTGCTGCTGTTAAGCTGGTGCTGCTCCTGTTAAGCTGCTGCTGCCGCCTGCGCTGCAGCTATTGTTAAGCTACTGCTGCCGCCTGCGCTGCTGCTGCTGCTGCTGCTGCACTGCTTATATTGCCCTGTGCTGTGCTGTTGCTCTACACGCGCAGCTGCCCTGCCCTGCACGTGCGGCTGCCGTGCCTTTGTTGCTGCACTGCTGCTAACCTGCTGCTGCTGCTCGAGCCGCCCTGCTCAGCCGAGTTGCTCCGTGCGTTAGTGCTGCCCTACCGCCTGCACTCGTGCCGCTGCTGCTGCTACTAGGCTGCTGCTGCCACCTGTGCTGCTACTGCTGTGCTGCTCCTACTGCTCAGCTGTTGCTGCTGCTAGGCTGCTGCTGCCGCCTGCGCTGCTGCTACCACCTGTGCTGCTGCTGTTGCGCTGCTGCTACTACTCAGTTGCTGCTGCTTCTGCTAGGCTGCTGCTGCTGGTGCCTGCGCTGTTGCAGCCACCTGTGCTGCTGCTGGTGCGCTGGTGTTGCTGCTAAGCTGCTGCTCCCGCCTGTGCTGCTGCTGCTAGGCTGCTGCTGCCGCCTGAGCTGCTGCTGCCGCCTGCGCTGCTGCTGCCACCTGTGCTGTCGCTGCTGCTGTAACTGCCACTCCTGCTGCTTGCTGCCGTTCGTGCTGCTATGGTGACTCCCACTGTTCTAGCCTTTGACGCAGTGGGGCAACCTTTAGGGTTTGACTCCTGGCTAGAGGGGCTGCACCTGTACCTCCGGAGTGTCAAACGGGACAACGTCTCCCTGTTCGAGCACACGTCGGGGTCCCTTCCGGCCCCAGAGGCTCCTGCTTAACCTGCTGCTGATGCTGAGGAGGAGGAGCGGACGCAGTTCCGCGCAGCTCACCTTGCCTACAGTCGGTGGATGGCGTGAGACGCTGCCGCCTCACTTGCAGTCCGCCTTCACCTCTTGTTCGACCAGCGAGCATTCTTCCCCAGGAGTTAGGTGCCGTCGGCCCATGCTTTGTATTCCGTTGTGGTTAGGCCCTACTCCCCACCCCCTCCTGCAATCCTAGGCTGTCTTGCGCTGCCTCCTACCTTCCCTGCGCTATTAGACCTCACCATTGTAGCTAACGAGGGTCGTAGTGGAGCTGGCGGGAGTGGCGGGGGCGGGCACCAGGAGTTAGAGCCTTGGTGTGTCGCTGCTTGTGCTCCTACTAGCACAGTCTATGCACACCCCTTCACTGTTCTCCCGTGTCTCGTTGTCCCCTCTGCCTCCTCTGGCTCGACCGAGGGGGATGACCCTACTGCTGCCGACACAGCGACCTCTCGCCGCTCACCGAGCTTGGAGACACCTCCGGGTTTTCCGCCCCGGGCGTCTTCGCCTCCTCTGGAGCCTGTCGCTGCGGACTTCGGGGTCCTAGGTGTTGTTGGGGGTGGTGACGCTGAGGGTTTTGGTTCTGAGGGTGCTAGTTCTGGGGGTGCTGCCTCTGGGGGTGCTGCCTCTGGGGGTGATACGAGTCCTCTTGTTGGTGGAGTTGGAGGTATTGGCGCTAGAGGTGCTGGGTCTAGGGGTTCGTTTCAGTCGCTGCCAAGGCAGTCTATCTTTGAGCAGCTGACGTCGTGGCTACCTGAGCCGACGCCCACTTGTACTACTCCTCTGTTGTTTCCGCCGCCTGCCTCCCCGCTGCCTGCTCCTGCTTGATACGTCCCGTTGTCCTTCTTCCTGACTGGGCATCGGGAGCCTGTGTCTTGTGCCGCCTCCCTGTCAGAACATTATAGCTTATGCTTTTGTGTAGGCTGTAGTGGGGTAGCCCATATGGGGTACAACCCAATTAGGGTTAGTACTTGTACCCAACTCATTCATAGTTGATTCATTCTCGTTCTCACTTTCTCATGGTATCGAGCAGGTTCCCTCGTGGGAACTGTTCCTAGGGCCCACCGATCCTTTTTTTTTCTGCCCGAGGCGCGTCTTGCCCCTACCCGAAGCGCGCATAGGGGCGCACCCTTCTTAGCGGCCCCGTCGCGTCACCTTAGCGGCCCGTCGCGTCGCCCTTAGCGGCCCTTCGCGCCGCCCTTACGGTCGCGTCGCGCAGCCCTAACGGCCGCGTCGCGCCGCCCTTTCACAAGCGGCCCGTCGCCGCCCTTCTCACGGCCCCGCCGTCCCCTTACACGGCCCCGCCGCCCTCAACTGCGGCCCCGCCGCCCTCAACTGCTGCGGCCCCGCCGCCCTCAACTGCGGCCCCGCCGCCCTCAACTGCGGCCCCGCCGCCCTCAACTGCGGCCCCGCCGCCCTCAACTGCTGCGGCCCCGCCGCCCTCAACTGCGGCCCCGCCGCCCTTCTCTGCGGCCCCGCCGCCCTCTGCTGCAGCCCCACCGACCTTGACTGCGGCCCCGCCGCTCTCATCTGCGGCCCCACCGCTCTCACCTGCGGCCCCGCCGCTTTCAACTGCGGCCCCGCCGATTTCACCTACGGCCCCGCCGCTCTCGTCGGCGGCCCCGCCGCTCTCACCTGCGGCCCCGCCGCTCTCACATGCAGCCCCGCCGCTCTGACTGGCGGCCCCGTCACCTGCTGCAGCGCCGCCCGCCACCCGGGCTGCCCGACCCGCCCCACCCAGCCGAGCAGCCGACCGCCGCGCCGCCCTGCAGCAGCATCGCCGAACCGCCCAGGCAACCGAGCAGCCGGACAGCCGAGCCGCCGAGCCGCCCGGCAGCCGAGCAGCCGAGCCGCCCTACAGCCGAGCCGCCCAGCAACCGAGCCGCCGTGCAGACGAGCCGCCCAGCAGTCGAGCCGCCGGGCCGCCGAGCCGCACTGCAGCCGAGCCGCCCAGCCGCCCAATAGCCGAGCCGCCGAGCTGCCGAGCCGCCCTACTGCCGAGCCGCCCGAGCTGCCCTGTCTGGTGAGCACAGTGCCTCTTTTACTGCACTTCCCTCACCCTACTGTTGCACTGCTAGTCTACTGTGGTCATGGCTACCCCTAGTGTCCTCGCTTTTGACGCTGAGGATCGAGCCATTGACTTTGACGTCTGGGTAGATGACCTGCAGCTGTTCTTACAGTGCGATAGGGCTGCTCCTGATGCTGACGCCACTGTTCGCTCCCAGTGGGCCACGCGCGACGCTGCTGCACGTCTTCCTGTGCGTCGCCACCTCCCTACCTCCGAGCGTGCGCACTTTAGTCAGTACAAGAGTGCTCAGACCTTGTACGACGCTGTAGTTGCGCGCTACTCCTCCCTTGCCACTGCTGCACTGAGCCGTCTCATGCTACCGTACCTCTTCCCTGACCTTGCTGCCTTTCCCACAGTCGCTGACCTCATTACGCACCTCCGCACTAGTGACACTCGCTACCGCGCTGCGCTTCCTGCTGAGTTCTACGCCAAGAACCCCCCCCCCCATGTATATCACCCTCTACTACATAGTCACCCGGCTCCCTGACTCTCTTCGCGTAGTCAGGGACCACTTCCTAGAAGTGTGCCCCACCACTCTCACCGTTGACCTCCTCGAGAAGGCCCTCCTAGCAGCGGAGAAGAGCATAGTCGCTGTAGGAGCCTCTCGTGGTGACCCCCGGACCCCTGTCTTTGAGGGGTGTTCTCCCTCCCCCCTCTTGCCCTCTGTTGCCTCTGGTGCTGCGGTCGACCTCGTTGGTTTTGAGTCGGTCGGCGCTGCGTCTGCCCCTTCGGGAAAGCGCCGCACAGGCAAGGGCAAGGGGGGCAAGGGTGCTGGAGGAGCCGGTGGGGGCGGTGGAGGCGGCGGTGGAGGTGGCGGAGGGAGTGGGGGTGGTGGTGGGAGTGGTGGCGGGGGTGGGGGTGTCGGTGGCAGCGGTGGAGGCAGAGGCGGAGGCGGTGGTGGCGGAGGGAGCGGAGTCGGCGGTGGTGGCGGAGGCGGCGGCGGTGGCGGAGGCGACGGAGGTGGCGGTGGAGCAGGTCGCGGTTCTGCACAGAGGGTAGATGACCTGCAGCTTTTCCTACAGTGCGATAGGGCAGACGGTCTCTCTCTCTTTGACCTCACCTCTGGTGCCTCTCCTGCCCCTGCTGCTTATGCCGACGCCACTGTTTGCTCACAGTGGGCAACACCCGATGCTGCTGCACGTCTTGCTGTGCGTCGCCACCTGCTTACCTCTGAGCGTGCGCACTTTAGTCAGTACAAGAGTGCTCAGACCTTGTACGACGTTGTAGTTGCATGCTACTCCTCCCCCGCCACTGCTGCACTGAGCCGCCTCATGCTACTGTACCTCTTCCCTGACCTTGCTGCCTTTCCCACAGTCGCTGACCTCATTACGCACCTCCGCACTAGTGACACTCGCTACCGCGCTGCGCTTCCTGCTGACTTCTGCGCCAAGAACCCCCCGCCCCCATGTACATCACTCTCTACTACATAGTAACTCGCCTCCCTGACTCCCTTCGCGTAGTCAGGGACCACTTCCTCTCAGTCTGTCCCACCACTCTCACTGTTGACCTCCTTGAGAAGTCCCTCCTAGCGGCCGAGAAGAGCATAGTCGCTGTAAGGGCCTCTCGTGGTGACCCGCGCACCCCCATCTTTGAGGGGTGCTCCCCCTCCCCCCTTCTGCCCTCTATTACCTTTGCTGCTACGGCCGACCTCCTTGGTCTTGAGTTAGTCGGTGCGGCGTCTGTCCCTAGCGGGAGACGCCGCTCTGGCAAGGGCAAGGGGGGCAAAGGCGTTGGAGGAGCGAGCGGGAGCGGTGGAGGTGGAGGCGGCGGGGGGAGTGGGGGTGACGGTGGGAGTGGAGGTGGGGGAGGAGGTGTCCGTGGCGGCAGTGGAGGCGGAGGCGGCGGAGGCGGTGGTGGTGGGAGCGGAGGTGGCGGAGGTGGCGGCGGTGGAGGCAGCGGCGGAGGCGGCAGTGGTAGCGGAGGCGGCGGAGGCGGCGGAGGCGGCGGGGGTGGCGGTGGAGCTGGTCGCGGGTCTACACAGAGGTTTGCTTCCGGTGGTGGCCCGCGCCAGCAGCAGCAGCGCGGTCGTGAGACCCTGTCCCCTCAGCAGCTCCGTGAGTGGTACACTGCACGCCAGCGGGGTGGGGGTTCTGGTCCGTGCACCTACGTCCTGCGCACCGACGACCGTGCGGGTGAGCAGTGTGGGGGTGCGCACCCCACCCAGCGCTGCTTTGGCCGCCTGACGGACGCGTGGCGTCGCCAGTTCTCAGAGGCCACAGAGATCCCTCGCTGGGGCGAGCTGTCTAGGGCGGGAGTTGCTATCTATGATCTTGATTTTGATGCTCTTCTTTCTGCCATGTATGCTGTGTCTATTAGTGATGAGGGTGACTGTTACCGGTGTTTCCCGCCCGATCCGGGCATTGGGACTGCTGCTCTAGGTACTGGTAAGGCTGCTGCCCTAGGTGCTTGTGACGCTGCTGCTCTAGGTGCTAGTGTGTCTGCGTCCCCAGGTACTGGTGAGTCTGCGCTCTCAAGCACTGCGTCGACTTCGGCCTCCCTCACCTTCACCCTTGACTCTAGGGCTTCTCGCTCCTTCTTTCGGGACCGCACCACACTCACGCCGCTTAGTCGGCCGGTTGCGGTGTCTCTGGCTAACCCCTCTGGGGGTCCTGTCCTGTCTCACTTCTCCACAGTCCTCCCGTGTCCGGCGGCTCCCTCTGGCACCCTGTCTGGTCTCTACCTCCACTCCTTCTCTACGAACTTGGTGAGTGGTGCTGACCTACAGGATGGGGGAGTACACCAGTTCACTCCTGCGCGTCAGCGGGTGACACACTGCACAGAGGCTAGCACAAGCCGACACTTGGCTACGTTTACACGTCAGCCGGGGTCGAGCCTGTACACACTGACCACCGCGTCTCCTCCAGTTGCTGAGTCTGGTAGGGTAGCTGCGTCGGGTCAGGTGTTTGCCGCAGCGTCCAGGTCTGGTCCTGAGTCTGCCCCCTGTTCGTGTCGTCTCCTGTCTCACGAGACTCTCCTCTGGCACCACCGCCTTGGTCACCCTTCTCTGCTTCGTCTCAGAGGCATGGCCTCCCGTCTTCTTGTTTCTGGTCTCCCCCGGTCCCTTCCTCCCCTTCCTCCGGGACCTGGCCCTACCTGTGTCCCCTCTGTCGAGGGGCGCCAGCGGGCTGCCCCTCACTCCTCCCAATTTCCTCCGACAGAGGCCCCGCTGCAGACGCTTCACATGGACGTGTGGGGCCCAGCCCGCGTCCATGGACAGGGTCACGAGCGCTACTTCCTGCTCGTTGTTGACGACTACTCGCATTACACCGCGGTCTTCCCCTTGCGCACCAAGGGTGATGACACTGAGGTGCTGATCGACTGGATCCGCGCAGCTCGTCTCCAGCTCAGGCAGAGCTTTGGCTCGGACTTTCCTGTTCTACGTTTGCACTAGGACAGAGGCAAAGAGTTTTCCTCTGGCATACTGAGAGCCTACTATCGCGCACAAGGCATCCGTCTGACCTTCACGCTTCCGGACTCTCCGCAGAAAAATGGGATCGCTGAGCGCCGCATTGGCATGGTCATGGACGTCGCTCGTACATCTATGATGCATGCGGCTGCCCCCCATTTTCTGTGGCCGTTAGCGGTCAGGTACGCGGCGCATCAGATCAACCTTCACCCCAGGGTCTCCAGGCCGGAGACCTCCCCAGCCTTGCTGTGGACGGGGAAGGTTGGCGATGCGTCTGCGTTCCGGGTCTGGGGATCTCGGGCGTTTGTCCGTAACTTGTCTGCGGACAAGCTATCCCCTAGTGCTGCTCCTTGCGTCTTCCTGGGGTTCCCCCATGACGCGCCTGGTTGGCAGTTCTACCACCCCACCTCTCGCCGTGTTCTGTCCTCCCAGGACGTCACGTTTGACGAGTCGGTCCCCTACTACCGCCTCTTCCCCTACCGCACTTTGGCCCTCCCCCCTCCCCCCCCGCTCTTCCTTGTACCAGGTCTCCTCCCGGTAGACCCCCTCCCCCCTCAGGGTCCTGCTCCTTCAGGTGTGTCCCAGGTAGACGCAGTCGAGCCTGTCGAGGTTACTGGTGACTCTCGTGCTGCTGGGGGTGCTGAGCCTGGGGGTGCTGCGAGTGGGGGTGCTGAGACTGGGGGTGCTGATCCTGGGGGTGCTGAGCCTGGGGGTGCTAAGCCTGGGGGTGCTGTGCTTCGGGGTGCTACGCCTGGGGGTGCTGAGCCTGGGGGTGCTGATCCTGGGAGTGCTGAGCTTGGAGGTGCTACGCCTGGAGGTTCTCCGGGTGCTTCATCTCTGCGGGAGCCGCTCTCTTCATAGGAGCTGCGCGAGTGGTTTGCCCGGCGCTGGAGCCGTGCTGCTGGCGCTGGACGTTCTTCGACTTCTGAGGCTGCTGCTGTCGCGGGTCCCGGAGGTGCTCGTACTGGGAGTACTGGAGCTGCTGGAGCTGCTGGAGGTGCTGCTGGAGCGGGTGCTCCTGCTGGGGGTACTGGTGCTGTCCCTGCTGTGTCTGGCGTCGTCGCGCGGCCTCGACCGTACTTCGTTCCACTCCTGGATCAGGTTCTTGGTTCTCCGCCTTCTGCTGGTCCTCCTCCCTCTTTAGCGTATCCACAACCTGCCCCGTCACAATTACAGTTGCAGCCTACCTCCCCTTTGCCTGCTCCTTCTCCCTACACTGGTCCTACTAGAGGTCTTGCTGAGCGTCGTGAGCCTGCGTCTCGCCCTGCGTCGCCGGTTCATGCTGCTCGCACTAGTGGTCGCGGTTTGCGTCAGCATCCTCCTCCTGTCCCTAGCACGCACCGGATGTCTCTGCGTCCGTCCACTGCTCCTTTGCATGCCCCTTTGCCTTCTCCTCCTGAGTCCTCTCTTCCTGCTCTTGCCGACCCGGAGTCAGACTCTCTTCGTGCTGCCAGTCCCACTGTCACGCGTCTCCTTGCTACTGTTGTCACTGACCCTTCTTTCGAGTCCACTGCTGCGTCTGCCCTCATTACTGAGCTCGTCGACTTTGCTGCTCGCTGTCGCCTAGACTACGCTGCTAGTCTTGTCGCTGAGTCCGAGTCTGTTTGTCCTCCGTCCGTCGGGGGTGAGTGTGCCCTTGGCACGGACGTCCTTGAGGACAGGCAGGAGGAGTTCCAGTGTCTGGCCGCTGCTTCACCTCATCTCATGAACGTACTGCTCACCCCTGAGGGAGACCTGGATGCACTTGAAATCCCGACTCCGCGCTCTTACGCGGAGGCGATAGAGGGTCCCTACTCTTCTCAGTGGCAGGCAGCTATGGATGCAGAGATGGCTTCCTGGAAGTCTACAGGCACCTAGGTTGACGCTGTCCCCCCTCCTGGGGCGAACATCGTCAGTGGCATGTGGATTCTCAGGGTGAAGCGGCCGTCGGGTTCTCGCCCTGTCTTCAAGGCGCGTTACGTGGCTCGTGGCTTCAGTCAGCGGCAGGGAGTTGACTACTTTCAGACCTTCTCCCCTACCCCGAAGATGACCACTCTTCGCGTACTGCTGCACGTAACTGCTCACCGTGACTACGAGCTACACTCTCTTGACTTCAGCACTGCTTTCTTGCAGGGCAGCCTACACGAGGAGATCTGGCTGCACCGCCCACCTGGCTTCACTGGGTCTTTTCCTCCTGGCACCCAGTGGAGCCTCAGGCGGCCAGTCTACGGTCTCCGGCAGGCTCAACGGGAGTGGCACGACACACTGAGGACTACACTTGCGGCTCTTGGGTTTACTCCCTCTACTACTGACCCGTCGTTGTTTCTACTCACCGACACTTCTCTGCCGCCGTTCTACATCCTCGTGTACGTCGACGACTTGGTCTTTGCCACAGTTGACACTGCTGGACTCGCCTACGTGAAGTCCGAGCTGCAGAAGAGACACACGTGCACAGACCTGGGTGAACTGCGCAGCTACCTTGGCTTGCAGATCACCCGGGACAGAGCACACCGCACCATTACCCTGACTCAGTCACACATGGTGCAGCAGGTCCTTTAGCGCTTCGGCTTCACGTACTCCTCGCCTCAGGCCACTCCTCTGCCTACTCGCCACT